TTTTAGATTATGAAATAATTCCGTTGTTTGTATTATAGGTGTTGGAATTGATCAACAATTCATCAAGATGAGTGGTCCTGATGTTAAATGAATTTGAAAAGTGTCATGGAATCAACTAATTGTACGCGCGCGAGATGATTGATCATAGAAGCAAACAAACTAACAGCATTGATGAGGTGGAGTTCGTGAATTGATTGAAGGAGATCAATACTCGTGAGATGAAGTCTCGGTTGTTTGATCTTCTTGTTGATTGTATTTTGTAAACCCTTTGCTCGTAGTGAGTGAATAATGATCTCGTTTTAGCCTCCATTGATTGTGTGTTTAATCACATATGAATCAATCTATTTCCATACTCAATTCCATGCTAGATTCAATGAGGAATTAGAGTTTTTTATTTTCTTTTGTTTTGTACTCCGACTGTGGTTTGATCTGAGTGATTGTTTGTGCTGAATCGAGTTGGATTCTCCACAATAGGTAGGAAAAAATATAGTATTCGAATTCGATGGTTTTTTATCCCAAAATCTATGATTTTGGAACAAGTTTTTTATTTAAATTTTTTGAAATTTTAATTTGAAATTTAATCTTTTTTTCCATCGAACTAACGGATTTAATTAAACAATTCCCAAAAAAAGGGAGGGAAAACTACTGTGGACTGGTGGGAAAGAATGAAACCTACTGAAGGAGGGCCCACTTCAGTTTTGATTGGCCCCTTTTCAGAAAAGGAATATCTACCGTGTAATTATTATATTCTACAAAAGCATGGACAAAGTGCAACGCTTTTATTTAATTCTTTTTTCATATTTAAAAACAATTTTCTTCAAAGTTTGAAAAGTTATACATTGCATTGATATTTGATAATTATTCATGTTTTTTTCTTAATTCCGATCAATATTTAATCTTATTTTATTTTGGTGTAAATTTCAGCACATAGAAATACAAGAAAGCTTGAAACAAAATCATAAAAGGCAAAGAGGGGAGATTGTTTTGTAATTTGCTGGGCAAAATCAACATCCAATTGCGACTATAATATTAATAGTTACACCAAACATTATTAATTATAATTAATTAAGAAACAAAAAAATAAAAATTATATCTATATATATATATTACACAAACACAAATTGCAACAACTAAAACACCACCACCAAGTCATGTGGTTCAATGCACCACAAATATTACCACTATTTCGCGACCTTTTCGTAACAACAAATGATGTGTAAAATTATACGATAAAAACTAAGTATTTCTCGAATCCTCATATTATCCTACATGATTCTATTACCTCAAGAACCGTAGTGTGCGTCTCCGGTGAGATCATGTTCAGCGTCAAATGAAATTCCTGCCCAAAACAAATACATATATTAAAGAATAATAATTTGTGTTTCTGGACAAAAAAATGTCGAGCTTTCGTAAGAAATGCATATTACCAGGAATCTCTCCAAAACCGGAATGAGTGCTTTTAAGTTGCGATTGGGGAGATATTGTGCAATGGCATTGCGTACACTCTTGCTGGCAAATATAGAAAAGATGGTTTTGTGACGACAATGTTTAATTCAAAATAAAAAGAAATATTTAAGGGGCAGAACGGTAAATTCACCTTTCCGTCGAAAGGAATGCAAGAAGAAGAGCTGCATAAGCTTCGACTATCATTTTCTCCGCTTCCTTCTCTCCCTGTAATATGGATTCTTCGTCCTCCTGCAAGACAAAAAAATCTCTCAATACAAATCTTAAAATTAATTTTGTCGGTCAATATATTTCCATCATGAGGATAAAACTAAACTCTTAAATTTGATTAATTTGAATTTAATATATATATATATATTCTCACCCATGACAACTGTTTTTCCTCTCCAGCAGCTTCACCAGTCCCTTGATTAGCCAAAAAGACCGAGCACAGTAGAGAAATCAAATCACTTTGATCCTCCGAATCCAAACCTTCAAGATTCGGTAACGAAACACTAGCAGCTGCAAGCCGAGATCTGCAATGTATTTTCAAATCATGTAAATAAAATTTAATTAAAAAAAAACCCATCAAAAAAAGAAAAATTGATTTATATGATTTACCGGTTGCAACCATCCTTTTCTACCAAATTCACGAGCAAACCCAAAATAGCAACAAGAAAGTCCAGCTCTCGGTCAGTGAGAGGACTTGATTTAGCTGACAAACCACCCTCTCTTACATCACCAAAATGTGGCAACGATAAGCTAAACGACGGAAAATGACCAGCAATCAGAGAAGACAAGATTTCTAATCCCCCACAGGTACCGATTTGCTGACAGCCCTCGGGATTATCATTCGTTAAGTTCATAAGAACCTGCAAATCAGCAATTAAACCATCACATTTTAATAGCTCCCAAAAAAAAGTTTGCAGTCTTGAACAGTAAATTCGACGTACAAAATCAAGACTATTTAATAACTTTCTTATTTTTTGTGCATCTATCTACCTTAAACGACACTTAAAAAAGTAACTAACCTTAACAGCTGTAAGAAGACAGTCTGAAAGAAGATTGGACTTATCTTCATCAACAGACAAAGAACAAGAGGCCTCCTGAGAACGAAAACAGTCGTTATTCGATTCTTGTTGGCTCGAAACTGGCGGAGTGGGGCTTGGATTTTTATCATATTTATTATATCCCCTACTATCTTGAGATAAAGGTTTCTTTCCATTTACGGATAATAATTCCCACTTCGAGGGTTCAAAATCATCTTCATCAAATGCAAAAGGATCTCCTCCACCGTATTCCATAACTCCAGTGTTGGCACACATAAGCTGCCTCTTTGCACCACCAAATTCTGTATCTGAATCATCACTGCTAATTATATGGGTTGCATTATTCGAATTCCAAGATGTTCCGCTGCACAATCCTGCTTGAGAAGATTCAACTCTCTGCTTTAGGAACAAAGGGTCGGCAGAAAGCTGACTGGATTCCATGCTACAAACACCCATCTTTTCATTCTGGGAACTGCCTAAAGAACTTCGGAGCAAGGAAACACCTAGTTAATCAATAACAACTCTATTAGAGGATAGAAACAAAGTTTTAACGGTGTCTAAAATTAGTAATAAGATCCAGACGACAATAGAAAAATACCATAGAATTTCATCCTTTACTGATGCAGTAATGAATTAAAGATACCTGAGAGAATTTTAATGACACTCAGAACAAGCTTGGTGAAAGACCGTGGAGCTCGTTGACCATCAAAGCTAGCTTTCATCCCAAGCAAATGGCGCTGCCATGGATTAAAAACTTCAGTGATAGGGAATTTACACAGTCGAACATCAACAAATTGCCATATTAGGCTAAGGAGCAAGGCAGAAAGTCCTATACCTGATTATCATTGCTAAGGAAAGTAGCATTTTCCATGATCTTTAGGCATTTCAGAAGCAGCGCAAGACTTTCTAAACCCGAAATATCTTTTGAATCCAGTTCAAAAGTTGGACTTTTCTCCAGCCATTTCTGCATGAATCAGTGTGCATTAGAAAAAAATAGCCTTTAATAGACAAACAAACAAAAAATGTAACACTTCATCAGGTTTAGCATGCCTAGGGACAAGCCCAGAAGAGCAGAGCATTCTACAAATACGAATAACATACAGGCTCACACCTCCATGATGGAATGGCATTTCCTTGCCACTTCAAACACTTCATCAAGACCTCCAAACTCTCTCAGTTTCTCCTTGAACTTGCCCCCAGTTTTCCGTAAAGTGCCAGAGGTATCTGAAAACGAGGAATGCGGAAAACAGGATCAGGGGAATGATTAAATAAATTAACTCAAAATATTAAGATAAATCGTTCCTTAAGAATGTTACTTCACATCAAGTTTCCACAAAGACAAATTAATAACAACAATAAAAATAAAATGAGTTCTGGACCTTCAATGGAGATATTGGATAAGCAAGCTTTCTCCAAAGTAAGCAAACTAATCCATTTAGGATTCAACTCTGGCTCTTCAATTCCATCGTCACTATTATTTGCTGCCTTCATTTCCTTGCAACTGACGAGGATCTCCCGAACCTTGAGAATGATTGCATCAGAGCTGGAATCTGTTCCCTTGGCTGACTCTTGTAATAAACCAGCATTCTTGCACAAGCCTAGAAACTTACTACCTACGAGCAGCTCTTTTTCCTTGGAAGCACTTGATGAAAGTGGTTTCAACAATTTAATAAGAAAACGAATGCAACTTGGTGAATCCAGAAGATAATCATCTTGACCCTGAAACAACGAGAATTTAAAAATACATGAATTTGGAACAATAAAAGAAGCATGTTAAGCCACAATATACAGTCGAACCACTTACATCACTTGTCAGAATATAAAATAAAGCAGCAGCAGCAAGGTTGCTTGGTTTGTCATCAAAACTCAGTCCCAGAACAGCATCAATGATAGTTTTGGCCATCCTAAGAAAAATATCAACCGTTAAAGAGTGTAGAAATCAACTCCAAACTAGGCACAATTTCCAAAGAGTGTAATATATCTATTTCAATCTGGTGCAGTCACTAACAACATCGATTTATCACTCAGAACATGATAGATTAGTTACCAAACGATAAATAGTCGTGGGCAATCCTTGTACTAAAGTCTAAAAGATGTATACTTCTAGCTATTGCACAATTCCTCATACACATTTTCTAAATTAACCAGAATAGCACATACCTCCTAAGATAAATATCCCAAGACGTTATATTAAACCCCAAAAAAGGTTCAACTATTTAGTACTAGTATACAAATTCTTTATAAAATGATCTTGAGTAGAATGAAGGATAAAATTAAGTACCCCTGAACCCTCAAAAGCCGCCTCTGCTGCACTGTTCCACTGATCGATAATAACGAGAGAAGACTTGCCCTTCGAATCCTCACTGGTTGTCCCTTCTTCAACCCATCCAAAGCAAAATTCACCTCGTCTACGTGTTCCATCATCTCACCAAACTCTTGCGTCTCCATTAATGTAGAGGTAAGCTCTACATAAGCTGGTTCAGGCACTTTTGACTTCATCTTCTTTTTTTTCTTCTGTGAAATCCCATTTCCTCCTTTATCCTTCTTCTTGGATTTTCCAGAAACCCCATCGAATCTCGTGTGGTTAAAATTACCCTCGTTTTTTCTCGACTGCGAAACCCCCAAATCACCCGACTCCTGCGACGAATTTAACAAATATGAATCAGAAACCCTGTTCACTCTGCCCTTCACTTGAGGCAGAACCACCAGCTCCTCCAACTCCTGCGATGAATTATAATCATACGGATCGAAATTGACTTTCTTTAGCTTCTTCGATTTCTGTAAATCCCCATCTGAAATTTCCAAAACCCGAAATTCCTTCGATTCTAGGGAAGAACTCGAACCATCGGGCTCCAAATCGATTACTTTCTTCGATTTCCAAATACCGCCGCCACTATCACCACTCTTTCTTGACGGCAAAAACGCCAATTGAGCAGACTCCTGCGAAGAACCGAAATTGTACGGATCGGACCACTGGCAGCGAGTGGAATCCTGAGAGGGAAAAGTGAAATCGTAAACGTCTTGAGTGAATTCTTGGGAGGAGGAATCCGATAGTCCGTCGGAGAAGCTATTCGCCGCCGTATGGGTCCTGGTCAAGCCTCCGCTCCGACGCCCGTACGTTCTCAAAAACATAACTTTGATCTCGGAATAATTCACCGGAACCAAAACGAAGGGGTTTGGGGAGGAATCAAAAATTCAATACACATGGGTGAAATCGGGGGATTAAAAAATAAAAAGGGGGATTAGGGTTTACTTCTGCCGCGTCCCTCAATTTCTGCTCCCCTTTCGCAGATTTGAAAAATGCTAACGGATATGAGAAATTCCGGGGGCTGGCGAATGAGAATTTAGTGCTGGATTTGATCAGTGAAGGCTATATATTTTGGATAAAATTCTTCGACGAGCTCGAGGGTAATGGGTATTTTAGGACGATTGCTGTAGTTTGAAAGGTTGATGAAATGAATCTGTAGCCGTTGATTTTGGCTTCTTTACCTGGCTGGGGTTGTTAACGGTTGATGCTTGATTCGTTCAATTCTCTCTCTCTCTCTCTCTCTCTCTCTCTCTCTCTCTCTCTACACTCTCTCTCTCACCCCCTTTTCTTTTTCTCTATTTTAATTTTAAAAATTTATAATTAAATATATATTGATGCGTGCTTAAATATTCGAAACTTGGTATATAACACAACTATTATTATTATTATTATTATTATTATTATTATTATTATTATTATTATTATTATTTGAAATTAATCAAACACCTTATGAATTTGTTTATAGTTTCAATTTTCCTAATGGCTCTTACTGTACCGCTTAATCGCTCTTTTGTTGAATCATTAAGTGCGTCTAGTGACAATATCTGAACGAGTCCAACAACCTCTTAACCACTCGAATAAAAATTATTGTTTATTCAATAAGTGGCACATTTAAAATGATCTTTCATCATATTTTACTGAGAATAAGTGGTTTGATGCATACTAACTTATTGTAGACCGAACAATGGACAAGTCAACTTCGAAATCAACTACACGAGAAAGAAGAGTACTATTTCGAAGTTGTATTTATAGACGAAGTTGTGAGAACTTTTTAATATACTTTTCTAATACGCTTTTCGGATTCGATGAGATTGAATTTAAGTGGAACTCATGGATTGTGCCACTTGGAATGGAGCTCATATTTGTAGCTTCATTTTCGCAATATTTACTTATTTTTACGATTAAAAAGTTGGGCTTCTTACTTTCGTAGATTCGCTTGGGCCATAATAAGTTTGTTGGGGCACTTGGATTAGCTGCTAATGTACCTCTTAATCACTTTTTTGTTGATCCATTAAATGCGTTTGGTGCTAATATTTGAACGAGTCCAACAAACCTCTTGACTATTCATCCGAGAATTATATGTTTATTCAATAAGTACCACATTGTAAATGCCTTTTCTCTATATTTTATCGAGAATACATGGTTCAATGCACACGAACTTATCGTAGATCGAAATAACAGACAAGTCAACTCCGAATTCAACTACACGAGAGAAAGAAGAGTACTATCTCGAAGTTGTGAGAACTTTTTATTTTTAATATACCTATGGATTGGGCCACTTGGAATGGAACTAACATTTGTAGCTTCATTTTCGTAATATTATTTATTTTTTTCGATTAAAAAAAATATATATGGGCCTCTATCCATTTTTGTAGATCCATTGGGCCTTAATAAATTTGCTGGGCCACTTGGATTAGCTGCTAATTAGGGTTTGCAACATTACTAAAGTTCCAGTTTAAATTTAAATTATTTTTTGTTTCCACATAATAATCAAGAATAATTTTCAACAATTAAAAATACACTATAAATACATAATTGGGGGTGTATGTCTGAAACCGACGCCGTATAAATTCGTGTATAGAGAGAGAGAGAGAGGAGAGAGAGAGAGAGAGAGCACGAGAATTAGAAAGAGAGCGCTATATATTTGACCTTTCAAATTTTTTTCTGGATCTAGGGTTTCCTATCGGTCTGACAAAATTCACGCATATTCATATCACATACACACCTTAAAAATCACAAAAAAAAAACCTGAATAAAATTCCGAAGACGTCAACAAAAATCAGGGATTCTGCAATCGCCGGCAGAATCTCGATCTGAAAACCCTAATTTTTCTATCTGCATGTTTTAATTTTCCCTCACAGATCTTTTCAGCAATCGATCTATTCACTAGATCTGCAAAAAAAGGGACTTGTCAATTTCGAATTTCACCTACTGGAGAGAAAGAACCCAATCGGTTGATTGATACTGAAAATTTTGAAATTGGGCAAGAATTTGAATTTGAAAAAAGAAAAAAACTTGAATTTTTCTTAAAACATTTTTGGTGTAATTTGAATTTTGGGGGAGAATAAATGTACCGAAAATTGGTGGCGGTGTATGAAGGGGAGAGGTTGCTGGGTGAGGCGGAGTTTCACCAGCAAAACGGCGACGTCTTGAGGGAAGAGGTGAGGGAAATCCGCGTTTCGCACTATTCACCGCCCAGTGAGCGGTGTCCGCCACTCGCGGTGCTTCACACCATAAAATCCACCGGAATATGCTTCAAAATGGAATCTGCGCCGGACGCGCCGCTCTCTGTTATGCACGCCACTTGTCTCAGAGATAACAAGGTATTGACTGCAGTACAATTGACAAAACCCAGCAAATCCAGAGAGTACTTAAACCTCAGTTGATTCAGTTAACGAAGAAGAAAGACGAACCCTAATTTTAATTTTACAAACATTTAAAATTAATATTTTAATTACAATTCTGAATTTTCAGAAAGAAAAAAATAATCGAAAATTTTGAAAATATACTTTTGGAAATTATGTGAATTTTGGTAAATATATTTGTTGTTATACAAAAAATGTGGAAATATATTCAGATTTCAGATATTCCCTTTATCTGGAATTATCTCCTGCTAAATTATACTGTTACAGTAATGTTTCTCTCTCTAGAAATTATATTTGGAAACAAAAGCTCCGTATCCGCATTTCCGTACAAATTTGGGGTTTCGACGCTTAATCTCGTGTTTTACATTTGTCGATTTGTAGGCTGCAGTAGCATTTATTGGAGGAACGGAGATTCATTTAGTTGCTATGCATTCACGAAAGTACGAAGGGCAAAGCCCTTGCTTTTGGGGATTCAACGTGGCGTCGAGCCTCTACAATTCTTGCCTTGTCATGCTGAATCTAAGATGTCTTAGCATTGTGTTTGACCTCGATGAAACCCTAATTGTCGCAAACACAATGCGTTCGTTCGAAGATCGAATTGATTCGCTGCAGCGAAAGATAAATTCTGAGTCGGACCCGCAGCGTCTCTCTGGCATGCTGGCGGAGGTTAAAAGATATCAAGACGACAAAAATATTCTGAGGCAGTATGTGGAAACTGATCAAATAAATGAAAATGGGAAGGTTACGAAGTCGGAATCCGAGGTGGTTCTGGCTTTGTCTGATAATCATCAAACTATTGTCCGTCCTATTATACGGCTACAAGATAGAAATATTATTCTCACTCGCATTAATCCTCAGGTAAATAAATATACATTGATTTCTTTTCGTGTGCCCACGAGAATTGGTATTTTTGTAAATATATATGACATTTGGAGACTCTTTGTACCGGTGGCAGATACGCGATACGAGTGTTCTTGTGAGATTAAGACCTGCGTGGGAGGACCTCAGAAGCTACTTGACTGCTAGAGGGAGAAAGCGCTTCGAGGTTTTTGTGTGCACAATGGCGGAGAGAGATTACGCCTTAGAAATGTGGAGGCTTCTTGATCCAGAATCAAAT